TCCTACCATTTGACTGTAATCAAAACTCCTTAACATCGTGGGAAATGTAAAGTCAACAACCGTCAACCCCGTTTCAGCTCTGCTATCTAACCGAACACGCCCCGTACACTGTGTCTCCACCGAGATTACATGCAAAGAGCTTCGTGTATTTGTGTTTAGTTCTGGGCTCCTGGTGTCAAATCAGTGTCTGTCTGTGCAAATAACTTCCATTGACGCTATTACCTACTGATGATAAATATTTGCATGAAGCTAACAGTCAGTCACATTTAAACGACTAATGTCCCTTGAGGAGAACACGCCGACGACAAGAAGGCAGCATTTGCGTCCTGGCGTCATATTTGAATATAGATCGGATATCGCCAGTTGCACTATCCTGAATGCATTCATTTCACTAGCAGAGAGATATGCATGCTATACAAGGACACGTCGTACTATTTTACACCGACGGTCATCTAAGAAGCAGTTCCCCTGAGCTAACCTGATCAGAATCCAGACCTTCCTGGTCTCATTTCTTCAAGCCTTTCTCTTCCGTCACGCCCACCCAAGCCAGCTCCCTCCCTTCCTGGTCTCAATCCATCCTTCGCTCCCACCTTTCTCTTTCTATCCTGCTGCCACCCTTCCTGGTCTCAATCCATCTTTCACGCCAAACTTTCTAAAACGCCCATCCTAGCCTGCTCCCACCCTTCCTGGTCTCAATCCATCTTTCACGGCCACCTTTCTCTTTCTAAAACGCCCACCCTAGCTAGCTCCCATCCTTCCTGGTCTCAATCCATCTTTCACGGCCACCTTTCTCTTTCTAAACCGCCCACCCTAGCCTGCTCCCATCCTTCCTGGTCTTAATACATTCTTCACGCTCACCTTTCTAAAAACGCCCATCCTAGCCTGCTCCCACCCTTCCTGGTCTCAACCCATCCTTCACTCCCACCTTTCTCTTTCTAAAACGCCCGCCCAAGCCAGCTCCCATCCTTCCTGGTCTCAATCCATCCTTCACTCCCACCTTCCTAAAACGACCACCCTAGCCAGCTCCCACCCTTCCTGGTCTCAATCCATCCTTCACGCCCACCTTTCGCAAACGCCCACCCTAGCCAGCTCCCACCCTTCCTGGTCTCAATCCATCCTTCACGCCCACCTTTCTAAAACGCCCACCCTAGCCTGCTCCCACCCTTCCTGGTCTCAACCCATCCTTCACTCCCACCTTTCTCTTTCTAAAACGCCCGCCCAAGCCAGCACCCACCCTTCCTGGTCTCAATCCATCCTTCACGCCCACCTTTCTCAAACGCCAACTTATGCCAGCACCCACCCTTCCTGGTCTCAATCCATCCTTCACGCCCACCTTTCTCAAACGCCCACCTATGCCAGCTCCCAACCTTCCTGGTCTCAACCCATCCTTCACTCCCACCTTTCTCTTTCTAAAACGCCCGCCCATGCCTGCACCCACCCTTCCTGGTCTCAATCAATCCTTACTCCCACTTTTCTAAAACGCCCACCCTAGCCTGTTCCCTCCCTTCCTGGTCTCAATCCATCCTTCACGCCAACCTTTCTCAAACGCCCACCCTAGCCAGCTCCCACCCTTCCTGGTCTCAATCCATCCTTCACGCCCACCTTTCTCAAACGCCCACCCTAGCCAGCTCCCATCCTTCCTGGTCTCAATCCATCCTTCACGCCCACCTTTCTAAAACGCCCACCCTAGCCAGCTCCCATCCTTCCTGGTCTCAATCAATCCTTACTCCCACTTTTCTAAAACGCCCACCCTAGCCTGCTCCCATCCTTCCTGGTCTTAATACATTCTTCACGCTCACCTTTCTAAAAACGCCCATCCTAGCCTGCTCCCACCCTTCCTGGTCTCAATCCATCTTTCACGGCCACCCTTCTTTTTCCTAAAACGCCCACGCTAGCCAGCTCCCACCCTTCCTGGTCTCAACCCATCCTTCACTCCCACCTTTCTCTTTCTAAAACGCCCGCCCAACCCAGCTCCCACCCCACCTGGTCTCAATCCATCCTTCACTCCCACCTTCCTAAAACGACCACCCTAGCCTGCTCCCACCCTTCCTGGTCTCAATCCATCCTTCACGCCCACCTTTCGCAAACGCCCACCCTAGCCAGCTCCCATCCTTCCTGGTCTTAATACATGCTTCACGCTAGCCTTTCTAAAACGCCCATCCTAGCCTGCTCCCACCCTTCCTGGTCTCAATCCATCCTTCACTCCCACCTTTCTCTTTCTAAAACGCCCGCCCTAGCCAGCTCCCACCCTTCCTGGTCTCAATCCATCCTTCACGCCCACCTTTCTCAAACGCCAACTTATGCCAGCACCCACCCTTCCTGGTCTCAATCCATCCTTCACGCCCACCTTTCTCAAACGCCAACTTATGCCAGCTCCCAACCTTCCTGGTCTCAACCCATCCTTCACTCCCACCTTTCTCTTTCTAAAACGCCCGCCCATGCCTGCACCCACCCTTCCTGGTCTCAATCAATCCTTACTCCCACTTTTCTAAAACGCCCACCCTAGCCTGTTCCCTCCCTTCCTGGTCTCAATCCATCCTTCACGTCCACCTTTCTCAAACGCCCACCCTAGCAGGCTCCCACCCTTCCTGGTCTCAATCCATCCTTCACGCCCACTTTTCTAATACGCCCACCCAAGCCAGCTCCCACCCTTCCTGGTCTCAATCCATCCTTCACGACCACCCTAGCCAGCTCCCACCCTTCCTGGTCTCAATCCATCCTTCACTCCCACCCTAGCCTGCTCCCACCCCTCCTGGACTCAATCCATCCTTCACGCCCACCCAAGCCAGCTCCCTCCCTTCCTGGTCTCAATCCATCCTTCGCTCCCACCTTTCTCTTTCTATCCTGCTGCCCCCCTTCCTGGTCTCAATCCATCCTTCACGCCCACCTTTCGCAAACGCCCACCCTAGCCAGCTCCCATCCTTCCTGGTCTTAATACATGCTTCACGCTAGCCTTTCTAAAACGCCCATCCTAGCCTGCTCCCACCCTTCCTGGTCTCAATCCATCCTTCACTCCCACCTTTCTCTTTCTAAAACGCCCGCCCTAGCCAGCACCCACCCTTCCTGGTCTCAATCCATCCTTCACGCCCACCTTTCTCAAACGCCAACTTATGCCAGCTCCCACCCTTCCTGGTCTCAATCCATCCTTCACGCCCACCTTTCTCAAACGCCAACTTATGCCAGCTCCCAACCTTCCTGGTCTCAACCCATCCTTCACTCCCACCTTTCTCTTTCTAAAACGCCCGCCCATGCCTGCACCCACCCTTCCTGGTCTCAATCAATCCTTACTCCCACTTTTCTAAAACGCCCACCCTAGCCTGTTCCCTCCCTTCCTGGTCTCAATCCATCCTTCACGTCCACCTTTCTCAAACGCCCACCCTAGCCAGCTCCCACCCTTCCTGGTCTCAATCCATCCTTCACGCCCACTTTTCTAAAACGCCCACCCAAGCCAGCTCCCACCCTTCCTGGTCTCAATCCATCCTTCACGACCACCCTAGCCAGCTCCCACCCTTCCTGGTCTCAATCCATCCTTCACTCCCACCCTAGCCTGCTCCCACCCCTCCTGGACTCAATCCATCCTTCACGCCCACCCAAGCCAGCTCCCTCCCTTCCTGGTCTCAATCCATCCTTCGCTCCCACCTTTCTCTTTCTATCCTGCTGCCCCCCTTCCTGGTCTCAATCCATCTTTCACGCCCAACTTTCTAAAACGCCCACCCTAGCTAGCTCCTACCCTTCCTGGTCTCAATCCATCCTTCACGCCAACCTTTCTAAACCGCCCACCCTAGCCTGCTCCCATCCTTCCTGGTCTTAATACATTCTTCACGCTCACCTTTCTAAAAACGCCCATCCTAGCCTGCTCCCACCCTTCCTGGTCTCAACCCATCCTTCACTCCCACCTTTCTCTTTCTAAAACGCCCGCCCAAGCCAGCTCCCACCCCACCTGGTCTCAATCCATCCTTCACTCCCACCTTCCTAAAACGCCCGCCCTAGCCAGCTCCCACCCTTCCTGGTCTCAATCCATCCTTCACGCCCACCTTTCGCAAACGCCCACCCTAGCCAGCTCCCACCCTTCCTGGTCTCAATCCATCCTTCACGCCCACCTTTCGCAAACGCCCACCCTAGCCAGCTCCCACCCTTCCTGGTCTCAACCCATCCTTCACTCCCACCTTTCTCTTTCTAAAACGCCCGCCCAAGCCAGCACCCACCCTTCCTGGTCTCAATCCATCCTTCACGCCCACCTTTCTAAAACGCCCATCCTAGCCTGCTCCAACACTTTCTGATCTCATTCCATCCTTCACCCCCACCTTTCTACCAACCTACCCTAATTCAACATTTTAGTCTCATTCCGCCTTTCACACCCATCTTTCTTCCCAGTTACATGTACCCTCCTTTCTAATCTACTTCCGTCATACTATTTGTATATGCCGTTATACCCTCTCTCCTCCTTTTTGCCCACGTTTCTTCCATGTTTACTTGTATCTCTGTTTCTAATCACTTTCTACTTTCTACTTGTCTTCCCTTCTACCTACTTTCTTCTTGTCTTCATTTTTCCCAGTTTCCTTCCTATCTCCCTACTGTCTTCTCTGTCTACGTCCCTGTCTACCTCCCTGTTTTACGTACTTTCTTCTCTTCTGCCGCGTCTACCTTCCTATCTAGTTTTCTCCCTCCTCCCCTCTCTGTCTACCTCCCTCTCAACCCTTCTACCCACCTACCCGTCTGGCAACGTACGTTCTGTGTGAATTATGCTGGGCCAGAAAGTATTGAATTACATACTTAAACACGCACATTATCGTAAATATACTTTAAACCCAAACAACAAGGGTAACAAACACCGTAACACTGTGCAATACAAAGGAAACTGTACAAATCATGGCTTGGGTAAAAAGGCGAGTGAGAATATAATTTATCTCTCGAAAACATACGTACACCCAAATAAATCGCAAACTATTTGGAACTTTTGAAGCTGTTCATTGGCATAGTAATGATAAGTAAAGTCTTACCTTTAACACTCTGGAAAAGACAAATCAATGCATAGATACAGACGTATTCCCAGCGAACGTTGGCCATTATGGTGTAGATGACAGCACGGACTGTTTGCGATGTTGTACTGTTACAGTCGGTACAAGCAACAGGCGACGTGTTGGAGCGGGGCGACTGATCGCTTGACGGAGTGCTCTTAATCACAAAGCCATACCTGATCTGTTCATATTCAAACTATAGACTGACGGGACTCGGGAGTCTTTCAAACGCCAAGTTGTGATGGGGTGGAGGTGGTACACAATAGGGTAGCTCCAGGATCACGGAACACCGCATTTACCGGATTTGCTGTTGGGGTACAGGCAGAGCTAGACACATAATTATACACGTAGTTATATATAGCGGTGGGTAGTATATGCACAGTTGGACACATAATTATGCATACAGTTATATATAACAGTTGGAGGTATATGCAGAGCTCGACATATAGTTATACACATATTTATATATAACGGTGGGTAGTATATGCACAGTTGGACACATAGTTATGCATACAGTTATATATAACGGTTGGAGGTATATGCAGAGCTCGACATATAGTTATACACACATTTATATATAACGGTGGGTAGTATATGCAGAGCTCGACTTATGGTTATACACACAGTTATACATAGTTGAGGTGAGGTAAGGTGAGATGGGGTTTAGCGTTGCGTTCAAGATTATTTGACTTATGTATTGACGTGTATGTGTGTCTGCTTGTACTAGTCTGGACTAATGCCGGTTTTATAGTACTAGCCGAGTAGTGCTTATTTTATCCCCTTAATGTCGAGCATCAGGTAGGGTAACAACAAGCACCATATTTTAAGGTCTTGGTATGACTCGGCCGGGGTTCGAACCACCGACATCCGGGTGTATGCAGGACTAGACACAATGTAAGGCATATAATTATAGTGGTGGGTAATAAATGTGTACCTGGACACATTGTCTCTTCGGTTTGTGAATACTAGTCAAATGACCTTCAGTTTGTTGATACCAGTCAAATGACCCTCAGTTTGTTGATACCAGTCATATTACCTTCAGTTTGTGAATACAAGTAAAATGACCTTCAGTTTGTTGATACCAGTCAAAGGACCTTCAGTTTGTTAATACGAGTTAAATGACCCCCCGTTTGTTAATACCAGTCAAATTACCTTCAGTTTGTGAATACCAGTCGAGTGGCCTTCAGTTTGTGAACACAAGTCAAATGGCTCAGGGTGTGTGAATACAAGTCAAATGGCCTTCAGTTTGCGAACAAAAGTCATATGACCTTCAGTTTGCGAACACAGGTCAAATGGCCCTGAGTATCTGAATGCAAGTCAAATGACCTTCAGTTTGCGAACACAGGTCAAATAGCCCTGGGTATTTGAATACAGGTCAGATGTCCTTCAGTCTGCGAACACAGGTCAAATGGCCCTGGGTATGTGCATACAAGTCAAATGGCCTTCAGTTTGCGAACACAGGTCAAATCGCCCTTAGTATGTGAATACAAGTCAAATGACCTTCAGTTTGTGAATACAAGTCAAATGACCTTCAGTTTGTTAATACGAGTTAAATGACCTTCCGTTTGTTAATACCAGTCAAATTACCTTCAGTTTGTGAATACATGTAAAATGACCATCAGTTTGTGAATACCAGTCGAGTGGCCTTCGTTTGTGAACACAAGTCAAATGGCTCAGGGTGTGTGAATACAAGTCAAATGGCCTTCAGTTTGCGAACACAGGTCAAATAGCCCTGGGTATTTGAATACAGGTCAAATGTCCTTCAGTTTGCGAACACAGGTCAAATGTCCTTCAGTTTGCGAACACAGGTCAAATGGCCCTGAGTATGTGAATACAAGTCAAATGACCTTCAGTCTGCGAACACAGGTCAAATGGCCCTTAGTATGTGAATACAAGTCAAATGACCTTCAGTTTGTGGACACACGTCAAATGGCCCTGGGTGCGTGAATACAAGTAAAAATGACCTTCAGTTTGTGAATACAAGTCAAATGACCTTCAGTTTGTGAATACAAGTCAAATGACCTTCAGTTTGTTAATACCAGTCAAAGGACCTTCAGTTTGTGAATGCAAGTCAAAGGACCTTCAGTTTGTGAACACAAGTCATATAGCCCTGGGTGTGTGAATACAAGTCAAATGACCTTTAGTTTGTGAATACGAGTGGAGACCGGACACTTGGCTTCAGTTATTTTACCAAGACAGGACACATGACAGGCGATATGTTTCTGCTTCATCAAACACTTTCAGCCCTAATTATAAAGGAAATACTAACCATATCTTGGGTGACAGTGTTTTCTGTCTGCTTGTCAGCAGCAATGACAGAGTAGCTGAAACATACGGGCCCACTGAGCAGATATCAGATGTAATATATCTCTACCCTTTGTTGCCATCAACACAATAACTCTTTATGGACACTGAATATATGCTTGGCAATGTATTCGACCATTTAACCGTCACTAACCCAATAAATAGCAAATTGTCCTGAATGCACATACATGTTCTGTGTATCGTGTCCCAGTGTCATTTTCCAATATCATTCTCATTTTGTAAGCCCAGTGTGTACAGAGAACAAACCCGTGCATGAATTTGTTTGCACACAATCAAGCTTGTTTGCTGAAAGCACTTGTTAACTCTCAAGGGAAAAAGTGACAAATATCTTAAAGTGAAACCCCTCTCACGACGTCGACAAGCACTGTTGTGTTCTTTTGGCAGAGGAGTCCAAATATGACGTAGCTAAATATAGCCATAGCTTTCAGACGGAAAGCAACACGCAGATACTTTAAGTATATTTAAATGATAATAAATATACACAATTACATATCGTGAGCGCTTGGTTGCAACATGAAGCTGGGTGTACGAACGGCGGCGGTTCTCTTGGCTGTCATTCATTCCTGGTTTTATAACCGGTCTGTTCTTCCTGCTACTAAGTTGCTCACAAACCTGCTTTGATTTGTTGACCCAATCCCGTTAAACCAGTTCTCGTACTTCCTGCTTGTGCTAGGCGTGATCTTGGCTGAAAAGACATGGGCTGTATTGGAGATCTCCGAGAGGCGCGCCCTGTATCATCACAAAGATTAAGGGGTATTTTATCTGCTCATGCTTCCATGCATAACAGGGCGTTCTCTGTGGCTGTCTATAGTGAGTGAGTGAATGGGTTGGGTTTGACGCTGCTTCGAGCTGTCTATAGAAGATGTGACACCACCACATCGTTTGCCTGCTGATATATTGACAAGATGTTGACATGTGGATTATGCGATGTATTTGGCGATACATGGAAGAGGATACGTATCACGGTACATCTGTGACGATACGATGTGCACCATGATACATTGTGACGACTGAATGTGTACCATGAGACATTGTGACGACTGAATGTGTACCATGAGACATTGGTGACGATACGATGTTTTCTATGATACATCGGTAACGATACAATGTGTACGATGATACGTTAGTAACGAAACAATGTGTTCCACGGTACATGGTAACATATCAATGTGAACAGAGATACATCGGTGACGATACAATATGTACCGCGGCACACTGGTTATACGATGTGTACCATGATACACTGGTGACGAAACGATGAATACCACGGTACATGGTAACGATATGATGTAAACAGCGGTTTATTGGTGACGATCGTCACGATATGGCTGAAATATTGCCGATGTTACGTTTAACTTTAACTCACTCATTGGTGACGATACAATATGTACCACGGTACATTGGTGAAGATACAAAGTGTACCATGGTACGTCATGTCATAGAATGACACCTATTTTAGTTCAAATCTAATGTCTTGCTGGTGTCTCCCGATCTGATAAAGCGGACGTAAAACCCGCTCACTTGGCAATATCAGGATTTGTACAGTTTTGTTCTTTATGTTTCACGCGTATTTTCATTCACTGTAAAACGTGATCGATAATCAAATACCTCTAAATTTTAAACAATCCTTCATCATGACAGTCCCGGATATGTGGATGCATCACACGTACAACAGCTGCATTACATCGTATGCATTACGCTGCAAATGAACTGATCCGAAGCAACACAAATTCGGCCAGCCTCTCCAGACACCCAGACACCCAACACCTGGTCGGTTTAGAATGAAATAGGAATCAACTTCAACTTAGAATATGCGGAGAATATATTACAAATAAGGGCAAGAACTACATCACCTAAAAATCTACACTCGCTGGGTTTCCCGAAAACAACTTGATCCTAAAAACTGCAAAAGCAATTTTCAAAATACACCACCTTCATATATTGTAGTTTGGACATATTCGTTGTAAACAAAGATGATGATGATGATGATGATGATGATGATGATGACGACGACGATGACGACCACGACGATGACCACGGAGGCGGTCGGATGATCCACAGGGATTGTGACCATTTAAAACTCCCTTTTGAAGGTAAAGTTTGAGAAAAATCAGTTACATCGAGAAATGTCACAATCTGAGGGGAACATCAGTGAGTGAGTGAGTGAGTGAGTGAGTTGGTTTTAGCGCCGCTTTTAACAATATTCCAGTTATATCACGGCTTGTCAGCTAAATGTGGGAGGAAAGCCCGAAGTGATGCAGGTCTCAGACGTTTACCACTTTGGACAAACCTATGAGCACGGGTATGGTGCTGACAAACCTAGAAACATACTCAGGTCGACCGGGATTCGATCCCACGATCATAGGTTTCTGGCGAGCGAACTGCGGCGCCCATGATGGGCCACCCGTTTTACATAAAATTGGGCCACAAAATATATACAATAAACTACGGTTATAACGAACTGACCGATATAACGAATTTATTTTTTAGTCCCGGCCATTTGATGTATAAATGCTGACTGTATATATGCTTAAAACGAACTACGGTTATAACTACCGTATAGTATAGTAACCGTAGTTTACTGTAGGATATTCCATGTGTCGAGTGAAATATCATATTTCTCTCATAGGGTGACGGGAGAAAGAAGATAGTTTCACTCTTGGCTTAGCATACATACATTTGAATATGATTTATAATATACTTCAGTGTGACAGACTGAGGCTACTGTTGGGTCTCAAGAGAATATAAAACGGCAAGAAGCGACATTAACTTATAAATGACCATCTGTCATTAGTTTGCATTGTCAGTGTGGAACTAACGTGAAACAGGAAGTAAGCAGGAAGGGAGGTAACTCTTGTAAGACTAATTCCGTAACAGTGTCACTTTCGCTGCAATGAAACTATCAATGTTCTCAAATTCAGACTCGGTATTTCACACTGAAGTATATAATAACTGAAGTTATTATTAATAGTTCTAGTTAAAACCTTTTTTTCTTGTTACTATTCGTTTTATCCAAAACACACTTTGTCTGACGCTTCATGTAACTAAACATTCATGACACGTTCCTGACTTCATATCTGACAATAAACAACATCACTGTCGATCAGCCTAACGAGAACATGGCCTAGGGTTTTGAATATCCTGGGAATCTTCGTTAAGGAAAACCTAGTACTTATAATTTCTTTTGCAATGCTATTATCGACTTCTTACTGAACACACCCGACTCCAGTGTTCGAAATACCTGCCTGCCCGACCGTCCGAGACGGGTTGATTTCAACTCGGGCTGCCAGATTTTCAAATCCCCCTGCCCGACGGTCGGGTTATATTTCATATGTAAAAATATTCTAAATATTTCCCGATGATAAGCATTATTTACATGATGTATTCTAGCATATTAAATACAAATCTGACCTAAAAAGTGTTTGCTATTTCTTTTCTTGCATTACTTCATGTTCAATGAATTCGATTTAAAGTTTTAATTAAATTATCCTGAGAAACATATGATTATAATGGGCAGGCAGGTTTTGGTCAGGGCTGGCAAGTATTTCAGCTAGCCAGTCCTGTGGTCTGGCTGAAAATTTTGGGAGTTTCATACCCTGCCGACTCAATGCGTATGTATATGGCCTATTCATCATGTATCTGAAAGTATGACTTGTATATCTCTCCCCTCCACTGCACACGACAAACATGTTCATCACGGTCTGGTAACCCGTTCATGTCGCATTTCTAGTCTGTGCTTTCCCAATACAGCTTTCAAAAACAAAATACTTTTAGGTCGAGCGTATATGTTGTTATTTATTTTCAGATTTTACACTATAATACCTACACAGTTAAACCTTGATGGTCCGGACTCTCTCTCTCTCTTCCGGACGGCTATTGTTGCAAAAAACCTGTTTATGTTAACCCCCCGGACCGTGTGGGGTCTGGGCTGGCAATGGTCCCCAGAAACCTGGCGCTGGTCCTTGTACCCAGAGGGCCCCGTCGTATACAACAAACAAACAAACAAACAAACAAACAAACAAACAAACAAACAAACAAACAATTGCCCTGATTAACGAATAAGTAGAAAGCAATTAGTCATAATCTGTTTGCCACACTCAAGCATATTCCAGTTAGGATGGGCCTAAAAAAATTCCGGTCAAACCAGTGATTGATATTATGACCAACGATCCTCGCAAGTTACCAGACCACCCGAGAGAGAGAGAGAGAGAGAGAGAGAGAGAAGAGAGAGAGAGAGAGAGAGAGAGAGAGAGAGAGAGAGAGAGAGAGAGAGAGAGAGAGAGAGATTACGGATGGTCTGTCACGATCTCGAGTAGTTTGTAGTGCTAGCTGTACTCTCATCAGCACACACATGTACAACATGTGAACAAGTGGCGTGTCGTTGATCATTCAAAACCATCCTGTGTGCGTGCTTTGACTGGTGATGTCAACTCACGTGGCTTGTTCGTACAGCAACTGCGACATCTGAGCAAACAAGCTTTCGGGAATTTCGGCGATTATGATGTAAGTGTTTTTGTTTTATTTTCCGGGTCTCCATTTCCCGATATGGGGCAAGACGATACATATATGTAGATACGAAAAAACAACAAACAAACAAACAAACAAACAAACAAACAAACAAACAAACAAACAAAATAAGCAAACATTGTTCGTTATAGTTCCCTTTGATAGCCTTAATGTATAAGTACTTTTGGTCAAGTCAACAGATACATTCTGCCAGTGCACTTTTAACTTGAATAATTAAACGCTATATAGCAGTGTGTAAAACATTCTAGATTCTCCCTGATTCACATACCCTGGTTCATTTCGTTGGAATAATCCTAACGTAGATTCAATATGTTATTATCGTGTAGTCAGAAGAATATTTTAATGAATCGTGGAAAGTGGGTGAGAGTAGGTCTCCTATTAAGAAATGTCCATATGTAAAATTACTTATCCGTCACTGTATAATGAATCCTGATATACATATACCGAATAAAGATAACTGATAACGATCCCAAATCGACTGCAAAGACACTGAACGGTGACTTTCATACATACTGTAAGTCGCTAGGTCAAGTAAACCCGACCCTCTGTCAATTGCAGAGGCAATGAACGGGGTTTTATAACATATTTTATTAACGCTTCTAGACAGGAAATGAAGCGCCAAAAACACGATACGTTAAAAACACGTTCACTGACTTTGCAGTGGACGGCTCAGGCCAATAGACCCATTCCTCAAACACAACAAGCAAGACTAAAAATCACGTGACTCTCGCTGCTATGACTTTAATTATCTCTTCCTTTTCAGCAACAAAAAGCGGACCTTCACAGTACCGAACTTTCAAATACAAAATACCAAGGTTATTGCTTGATTTTACATAATAGCTTAAGAATATTTCACATATTTTAGTGACTCTTTTTCTAGTTTGTCTGGCCCAAATTCGATTATCAGCAGACATATAATAATCGCTGACTGCATCGTTAATTCGATCTCTGATACGAGACGTTGGTAAATCGCGCAATGCTCATTCTCATCTAGAAATGGGGGCACGGCTGGCCCAGTCGTCTAAGGCGCCGCGATTCGCTGTGCAGAGTTGCTTCCCTTGGGCACGCCACAAACCTATGATTGTGGGTTGGAATCCAAGTTCGCCCCGATTATGTTTCTAGGTTTGTCAGCACCATACCCGTGCTCGTGGGTTTCACCTAAATGGTAAACGTCTGAGACCTGCATCACTTCGGGCTTTCCTCCCACATTAAGCTGACACGCCGCGATATAACTGGAATACTGTTAAAAGCGGCGTTAAACCCAACTCACTCACTCACTCATCTAGAAACAGTAAAAGCTTCGCTACAGCTGAAGTAATCCCCATACGTTCACAAGCTCACTCCAAACACTGTACTTGCCTTCTTAACACAATCTACAAGTCACACAGAAGGTCACAAAAAGCACTCGCTGAAACCTGTACATAATTAGATAGGATCATAGCAGTTCATGCCCCAGGTACTGCTTAGAGGTGCTGACGTTCCCGTCACGTAGTGTCAGCTCGAATGTAAACAGAGCCATTCGGACTAGTACTCCTGCTTTGGGAAAAAAACGAATACCAGAAGGGATTATCACCGCCGTTTTAACAATTTCGCTTTTGGACTAAAGTAAGTCCTTAGATATATATTTTCACAAGTTCTGTTAATGTGTGTATTTCAAGCCGAGTGTTGGCTGTTGTGTCATGAACTCATACCAAAATAAAAAAAACAGATCTTCAAATCAGAGGTTGTACAGGATGAACACTTTGCTGAATGTGTGAGGAAATTTATGTCGGCTTTCTGTTTTTCAGTGGCCTGTCTAAAGGATGTATGATTTTTTTTATTTCACTTGCAATTTTGAATTTGCTTTAATAACAACATTTCTAAAACCGCAGGATATGTGGATTAAAAACAATTAAAACATTTATTACAAGGTTGCATTAAGTACCTTTTGAAAATTAAATGCCTGTCAAACAATTTAAATTAAACGGTTATTTGCTTACTTATTTAACCCACTGTGGAGCTTATTGAAATCAGTTCAAAGAAACGCGTGATGTTTTTGTTGTATTTAATTCTCATTTGTGCAAATTAAGACTGCGGATCACGTAATAACCCCTTCCCCCATCTAATTAAGACGGTAAACAAGTAGTAAATAATTATATATTTAAAATCGCAATTGAGATAACAGCGATTAAATCAAATTGCTGGTTCCGGTATTATTTCTTTTATTATTATTATTGTTATTATTATTATTATTATTATTATTATTATTATTATTATTATTGTTATTTTTTTATTTTATTTTATATTTTATATTTTTTAAATTTTATTTAGGCTTGTTACCATCTTGATCTGCATTGTATATTATATGTTGTATATATATATACACTCTTGTTACCATCTTGATCTGCATTTTTTATTATATGTTGTGTATATATATATATATATATATATATATATATATATACACACTCTTGTACCACCGTTGGTGGTTTTTCAGAGAAATAAAACTGAACTGAACTGAACTGATACTGGTTCCGACACTGCAGTATTAGATTAGCACATCAAAGCTATTGTATACCGGATTATAATTAACGAATGCTTTATGGCGCTTTGGGTCTTTTGAAAGCCATTAAATTAAGGCATTGTGTTGGGAGAATACTGGGGCTTGGGGCTTTTTACAACCATTTAATGAAGACAACGGGTGACCTTAACATGGTAGTGTTCTTCATCCGAGCTGTGACATGCGTGCGTGTCGATCTCGTCCTGTCACGCAACAGCAGTTGCCATGGCAACAACAGGTACATTGTCTACACATCGGGATATTATTGAGAGTTTTATCCACTACATCGGTCAACTGGCGTGTGTGTTTGGGGATGATTTGCCCAAGTCGTCATATGACCTTGTGTTGTGAAGTAACCGCCATTTGTGGTGTTATGTGGTGACAAAGTACTCGGCTTCTCTGCAAGGTATGTTAATTTTAGCGTGGTTGCTCAAGGTGTTTCACATGATCAGTGATATTGATTAGATGAATGGATTCACGCTAAGTGGTTTGGACGGTTTTAACCAATCAATGTTTGGTGTTATTCATTCACATTTAAATGCATGTGTGTAGGTAATAATGCACGTTATTGTGAATTATTTGTTATTATCGTCTTGCGATCACCCCTTTTGGAAATCCGGGGCAGGATTGTTCCCCAAGGGATCAGGCTACAACGGCATCATGTCCAAACGGTATAAACATTGTCTGCTCAAAACGGCATTAAATCGACAAAAACGACACCAGAATTCATTTCCTGACCCCCAAATGTTGTCACACTAAAATACCGACTATTGTTAAATTAAAAGACTATTTCTATGTAGGGGGTATTTAATACAATTTATCACTTACACAACCATGGTTTTATAGATGTTTTCTTAGCATCAATGTTCGAATCCAAGTTCGCTCAGGATATGTTTCTAGGTTTGTCAGCACCAAACCCGTCCTCGTGGGTTTCACCGAAGTGGTAAACGTCTGAGACCTGCATCACTTCGGGCTTTCCTCCCACATTAAGCTGACATGATGTGCTATAACTGGAATACTGTTCAAATGGTGTTAAACCCAACTCAGTTTGCTTTGCTATATGATACTGCGATGTTGTTGTGCTTGATGTAAAAAATAACGTAGCTGTAGTTACGAAAGATAATCCAGTAATTAAACACTTACAATTAAACAATACGTATCTTTAATGTCAATTAATGACCATTATACAATGTATTCTATTTCTCATCTCACTTTCAATACATTGTAATTTGTATATGTATCATGTTTTGGAGAGGCATTCAGATAAGCAAAATTTGTTTGTTTGCGAATCCCTCCACATTATGGAAATAAATATGTTTATATCAAACCCAACTCACTCACTCTTAGCATTTCACACAGTTGAAGTTACAGTCATACAGTTTCAAATAAAAGTACACTAGAGCATAACCTATAGTAACATAAACGTTTATACTTACTGTGCCAAAAGAGAGGACATCCCAATTGCGTGGATCAATGCTCATTATGTCAACACAACATAACGCCACACTCAGCAATATTCCAGCTATATGACAGCGGTCTATAAATAATCGAGTCTGGGCCAGGCAATCCAGTGATTCATATCATGAGCATCAATCCACGCAATTGGTTAACTCCTGATTAATGCTAAGTTCTCCAAATTCAATTGAAAACATTTTATTCTTAACTTCACATGTTCATTTTGGCTTACCATCATTTTCAACTTTGTCAAACATATATGCATAACATCGATATCCCTTGCGAATGCAAATATCAGCAGTAAATAATTTACTCCAGTGTTTGACCACGTAGTCTGGTACATCTTAATGGGTATTAACAATATACAATGCATTACCTCTCGGTTGTTTTAAGATGTACTCCCTCAATATGTATGCCTTTATGTGAACCCCAGACATGCAAATAGGTTATTGTGACATGAAAACATTCACAGAACTGGGAGCTCGGAATGACGTAACTCGGGAAAATATGTCATTATCTGTACTATTGCGAAATGAGATAAGCGAACACCTGAACCAGATAGGCCATAATTATGGCCGCCACAGACCGTTGCTAGGCAACTTGTGGTACTATCATAAGTCAAAATGTTAGAGGTAGATTAGTTACCCTGTATAACACTGTATTCTGCCAGGGAAGTATTTGTGCTCTGAACTGACATATATTGCCGCAGACATGTCACATACTGTTACTTAAGTGGGAATATTTTTTGTATAAAAACAGCAGTTCCTACATAGAGGACGGACACTGTGTACAAAAGTAAGTACTCTGGTGAAGTCATATGATATATGTGATATGCATACTGCCACGTTTCACAATGTTTGTACTCTGTAATGTTTCAATATTACCATAAACATTTAAAAAATGATCTTCAGCCATCATTGCTTGTCGTAAGGGGCGATTAACAGGATTGGGTGGTCAGGCTCGCTGACTTGGTTGATGCATGTCATCAGGTCCCAATTCCGAATGTCGGTGCTCATGATGTCAATTACTGGACTCGATTTTTCACAGACCGTCAGCATATAGCTGTAATATTGCGTCCCTTGGGCATGCCAAAAATCTGTGATCGTGGGTTCGAATCCCGGCCCGGTCAGATTATGGTTTTTGGTTTGTCATGATCAGCACCATGCCGTGCTCGCGGGTCTCACCAAAGTTGTTAACGTCTGAGTCCTGCATCACTTCAGGTTTTCTTCCCACAGCAAACTGACACGCCGCGATATAACTAGAATACTATTCAAACTCACTCACTCACTACAAGTTCTGCAGATGTTTCTGCTCAATGAAGGGGTATCATGATCAGGGATTACATAGTTTCCTTGATGTCAAGTTCAGTAGAGACATGGTTTGTTTCAAATCTTACAGTAAACTACGGTTATAACGAACGCAAAGGGACTACTAATTTTAGTTCGTTATAACCGTAGTTCGTTATAAGTACATATACAGCATGACTACAGCAAGTAGTCGGGACCAAAAAGTAAGTTCGTTATAACCGTCAGTTTGTTATAAGCGTGTTCGTTATAACCGTAGTTTATCTCCAAACTATCAATGTTGTATTACATGGCCCTGGGAATGTCAGTCTTAAATTCGAGGCTGCGTTTCACAAAGCAATATCTTGTACCCACTGTCATGAGCCGACCCGTGGAAATCCGGATAGAGAAAAGGTCTTTAGCAACTCATGCTTGCTGTAAAAGGTGACTATGCTTGTCGTAAGCGGCGACTAACGGGATCGGGTGGTCAGGCTCGCCGACTTGGTTGATGCATGTCATCGTATCGCATTTGCGAAGACTGATGCTCATGATGTCAATCACTGTATTGTCTGGTCCAGACTCGATTATTTGCAGACCGCCGTCATATAGCTGGAATATTGCTGAGTGCGGCTTTGAACAACAAAAATAAACAAAACAAAACTGTCACGATTTTGTGTTTCAGTATGAAGCTACAGTCGTCTTTACGCTACGAGCGCTTTTTCCAACTTAGCCATTGTCTTAAAATTCCTTTCAAGAATAACGCATTTAGTTAAAGAAGCATGGGACCACCTACTCCTCAGCACGGGATATATTGTTTAGATCAATATCCAGATCAACACTGTAGTCTTGCTGTATGACGATGTGATTAGTTGGGGCATGTGTATGACCCGAGGGTATGCGTCGAACAAAGACACATTTTAAACAGAAACACATACATGGGGTTGATCTCACCCGTACATTTACAAGCTAGTAAATCCTGCAGCCTTTTCCCCCGTTTTAGTAAAAGCACCCATGTCCATGCATGTGTCACTGTAATCGACGTTGTCAAGCAGGTATAGCAACATGCCCGGTCGTAGATGTGTTAATCTGTGACGTTAATCCTAAACGTAAATCCATCAGTGCGAGTGTGTTAAGTCGACGGTTACGTCACACATAAGTCTGCCCCAGAATACCCACGAGCCCTGACACGTTGGGAATATGTCGGAGTGTTACCGTAGATCTACGAAATATTTACAAAGATATAAAGGTGGCCTTGATGCGAATGTATGCTGATTGTTTGTCGTCAGACAATCTGTCTTACTTGCCCTCGTGATTATATGACTTAGATAAAGCCGACGTGACGTTAAAGTCTATAAAATATCAATTATGAAGGCATTCAAAACGTATATTGCCTTCTTAGGCGACTATGCTTGTCGTAAGAGGCGACTAACGGGATCGGGTGGTCATGCTTGCAGACCTGGTTGATACATGTCATCGATCACAATTGCGTGGATCGATGCTCATGATATTAATCACTGGATTGTCTGGTCCAGTCTCGATTATTTATAGAACGCCGTCATATAGCTGGGATATTGCTGAGTGCGGCGGCTTTAGACAACAAACCAACCAACAAACAAACCCTCTTGTTTGCAAGTGGTAATTTTGAATTATGGAAAAGAAATAATTCTATTAAATCTGCATAAATTCCAAATATTACCCTGAATGTATGAAGGATCGAGTGTTTGAACTCTCCGATATTTTCACATTCCGATTTGAACGATTTACCATCCTGATTGGTCAGTTTCTGAGTGCAGCGCTAAACAAACAAACAAACAAACAAACAAACAAACAAACACATGATCGCCCTAATTTGGTAGCAAGTAATTAGTCATAATTTGTTTGTTTGTTTGTTGTTTAACGCCACATTCAGGCATAGTCCTATTACTAGTAAATGATGGCCCTGAAAATGACCCTGTCAAACCATTGATAGATATTATGAGCAGCGACTCGCAAGTTATTATATTCAACATATTCAGATATGTTTCCAATTCCAAACACTTTGTTACAAATGCACGATACACAAATATGATTATTTGCACATTTATATAATTTATTCAGTAATTTATTTGATCGGTGCCTCAGTACAACGCCTTGATGACCGGTTGTCGACCCGTGAAGATCCAGTTTAGAATTGGTCTTAGGCAACCCATGCTTGTCATAAGGGGCGGCAAAGGAAATTGGGTGGTCAAGCTCTCTGGCTTAGTTGATGCATGTCATCGTATCCCAATTGCGTAGATCGCTGGTCAAGAAGTCAATCATTGGACTAGATCATGTACAGACTGTCTTCATATATCTGTAATACTGCTGCGTTAAACAGAAAGAAAAGCAAACAACAAACTAGTGAGTGAGTATGGTTTTACGCCGCTTTTAGCAATATTCCAGCAATATCACGGCGGGGGACACCAGAAATGGGCTTCACACATTGTACCCATGTCGGGAATCGAACCCGGGTCTTCAGCGTGACGAGCGAACGCTTTAACCACTAGGCTACCCGACCGCCAAACAACAAACTAAGTCCAACGTAAAATTCTGCTTTCTTTGTTCCAGTTCACTTTGCACGATGCGTGTGACATTACGACGCTGTGCCACTGCGGGCGTTTCCTGCGTCGCGGCCGTCGTCCTCCTCTCCGTCATCTACAGCTCCAGACACACCTACTACGGCGACGAAAGGCTTTTACCATATGAAGATTATTTCCTTCCTTCGTCTACAGAGAAGATATTTCTGGAGTATGATTTCCTTATCAACTCCGATGTCTGCTCAAAGTCCAAAGGGCCATTCCTGTTGGTGATGGTGTTATCGACGCCGGAAATGACGTCACAACGGGACGCGATCAGGGATACTTGGGGAAGCATTGCACGGGGAGGAGTATGGCCGGGTTTTAAGGAACGGATGGATGTCAGGATGGTTTTCTTGTTCGGGAACAACACTTTACACTTTAATGAAGCGTTGAAGAGGGAGGCTCTAAGTAACCGAGATATCGTCCAGGCTAGTTTCACGGACTCCTATACGAACCTGACGTTAAAAGTTCTCATGGGGTACAGATGGGTTGAAAAACATTGCCCTGACGCCAAATTTGTGATGAAAATGGATGAGGATGTGTTCGTGAATATTCCATATATATTATCACAACTGTATTCTTCCGATTGGTCCAGACACATACTCGGACCGTTATCTTACTCCGAATTTACGATAAGAGATGGGAAATACGGCGTGAGCGAGTCGAGTTACCACCCGCCCATCTACCCGCCCCACGTCAAGGGGAACCTGTACGTCATGCAGACAGACGTGGCGGTCCGGCTCCTCCACACTGCGCCCTACATGACGTACGTCAATATGGAGGACGCTTTCATTACCGGGATACTTGCCAAAGTTCACAGACTTCGCCACGTTGATATACCGGAAACGTTATATGACCGCAATGTACCTGCGACCTTTTGTGATATCGCTAATAGGGTCAAGGTCGTGTCACAACAGTACACAGCGAAGATGATGTATGGAGTGTGGGAGAAGGTCAAGGACAGTTCACCATGTTCTCTGTTTGGGAGGATAAGACACTTTTTTCGCCGAGTTTTTAAGTCATGAATGTTTTCTATAAAAACAAAACAGAAACCAGATCATCCAGACGTTTGGATGTATGTTCTGCCACGAACCCATGACGATATACAAGCCAAATATTGCCAGATAGCTAGATTTTTAACTTTATTTTTATATCGCAGGGCTTACAAATATGGTCTGCGAATGAAGCCACAATGTATTGAATCCATGACGATACAACTGCCAAAATATTGCCAAAAACATGTAGCTACGTTTTTAACTACATCTATGTATCACATGGGTTCTTTTCGATGCGTATCTAGTCGATTACGTTCGTGTCCCGGTATATAAAATTTACGATAAGTTCAGAGCTTTCCGGTCTAATGTGATCCGGACTGACGAGGTTTCCGGTCTAACAGGGCTCAGACTGATGGGGTTTCCGGTCTAATGTTGTCCGTACTGACGAGGTTTCTGGTCTTACGTGCTCCGGAACAATGATGTTTCAGGTCTAACAGGGGTCAGACTGGAAGGGGTTTCCGGTCTTTTTGGGGTCAAGATTACTGAGGTTTTCGGTTTTCTAGCGCGGTCCGACTAATGGGGTTTCCGGTCAATCGGGGTTCTGTCTGACGTGGTTTCTCGTGTAACGGGGCCCGGACTAACAAGGTTGCCGGTCTAAGGGGTCCGAATTATAGAGGTTTCAGTTAGGGTTCCCCCTAATTTCTAACGAAGTCTTGTTTAGCTATGGGGCTAAAACTTGCAAACCGATGCATGCATGGTGTCACCACAAAAAAGACGAATGTATGATTTCGGTTCAAATTAAAGAGTAGTTCAACTAAGAAAGTAAAAGAAGATAATATTGATGCACTTACAGAGATGTTCTGTTTTTACGGGTTAATAAATATATATAGGCATGGGTAGCGTTTTGTGCGTGATGAAGGTAAGAGCAACTTGCAATATGCGGTCTCTGGTTCGCTTCTCAGTACGAACTAAACTCATGCTGTATTAAAATGATTGGTTCGCAGTGGTGAGTTGGATTTAAACCAATTTGAAAAGTATTTTGCTTTGGCCAGTGCGTGTCAATTAATTTTCTTTTTGTCTCAGTTGTTGCAATTCGCTGTGTCGAGTTGCATATCCAAGACTGGGTTCGAATCCATGATTCCTTGGCTAGTCAACACCATTTCCACCTTCATGGTTACACCAAAGTTGTAAACGTCTGTGAGAGGCGACGATGCTTGTCGTAAAAGGCGACTATGCTTGTCGTAAGAGGCGACTATGCTCGTCGTGAAAGGTGACTATGCTTGCCGTAAAAGGCAACTATGCTTGTTGTAAGAGGCAAATGACGGGATCGGGTGGTCAGACTCGCTGACTTTGTTGATGCATGTCATCATGTCCCAATTACGTGGCTCATGATGTCAATCAGTGGATTGTCTGGTCCCAACTCGATTATTTACAGACCGCCATCATAGAGCTGGAATATTGCTGAATTGGAAGTTAAACAACAAACCAAATGTGAACGTCCAGGCTTTGCACAAAAACCAAGCTGACGCGCAGTGATATAAAAGGAATACATTTCAAAGCGGAAATAAACTCACTCGCTGACGTTTACAGGTAGGGCGGTGATAAAGCGAGGATCCTAATTAGTTAAATCGGGATTCGAACCCACGGTGCTATCTGTTTTGTACATCCTGATGGGTGAGCCACCCTTGTACCACCTGCAGCTGCTTCATCCATAGTGGACCGCCTCCGTGGTCTTGTGGTAGAGCGTCCGCCCGGAGAGCGGAAGGTCCAGGGTTCGATCCCGGGCCGCGTCATACAAAAAGACGTTAAAAGATTGTACTTGTTGTTACCCTGTCTGGCGCTCGGCATTAAGGGGCTAAAACAAGGACTGGTCGGCTCGGAGTCAGTATACTGTGTCTGAGTGGGGTATTCATGTTAAACTGCGGCATGGTATCTCAGTGAGCTAGCACTATAAATCGGCATCAGTCCGGACTAGTACAAGCAGCCACACACAAACATACACGTGCATGCACGTCGCTATATAAGTGCAATAATCTTGGACGCGACGTTAAACCCAATTTCACCTCACCTCATCCATAGTGAAAGCCTGGTTGTGTTTTGGGCAAACATTCGTTCTGTCAATAAACATGTATATTCTACTTCGTGTTATGTTGTCAAGTGCTCTATAGGCCATTATAGTATTTATGAAGGAATTATATTTTAATGATGGTGGTGGCCATTGGATTGATGGCTTATTGGCGAACATCTGGACAGAGTACACCTGGAGAGAGCGCGGAGTATCAACTGGCACACCTTGCATCACTGGTAGCCATTGAGTAGCCTTGTGGATAAAGCGTTCGCTCGTCACTACGAAGGCCCTGGTTCGATTCCACACATGGGTATATATGGGAAGCCGACTTCTGGTGTCCCGATATTGCTGGAAAATTGGTTATATAATAAAGCGACAAATTCTCTTCTGATATCAAAATCAGAGTCCATTGTACGATCACTTTGAATCACAAATAGAAATTTATCCTGCCACACCCGTCACTAACACATGCAAAGGCATGTTAATTGTTCACCTGAAAACATAAGGACATCGGACATCATTCTATCAAACCAATTATCAGTAAATCGACTTTATATTTGACAAACATTCGTGAATACAAGTCAATCTACTAATTACAAATTTTACCTTTCATTGTCAAAAAGAAATATAATAACATATAATCATCATTTTTGTTAAGTAATTTACCACCGTTATCTAATATACCGATAACAGCTGATCCTATGTTGCTATCGTTACCGTTATTTACATTTTGTTAACTGATGGCAAAATTTTAACTTGACGTTGAAACCTGTGAGGTTTCGAAGTGAGGATATTTGCTCTTCTGGTCAGGGTGGGGAGAAAATACCATAGTTATCTCTATAAATTGTCTGGGGCGGTCGGGTAGCCCAGTGGTTAAAGCGTTCGCTCGTCACGCCGAAGACCCGGGTTCGATTCCCGACAAGGATACAATGTGTGAAGCCCATTTGTGCTCTCCCCTGCCGTGATATTGCTGGAATATTGCTGAATGCGGCGTCAAACCTCATTCACTCACTACAAATTGACGACCAAAAGAAACTATACTTTTCTGTTAATTTTATCATATGTTTGATATTCAATTAAAATATCGTGAGTTATCGAGGTAATATCCTACAAAATGAACTGTACGTAGTCAGTATCCAAAGAAAACCTGTACATGCTTATATTTCAAAAATAAAATTTGATTTCAAACTTAAAATTATTTTTTTAAACTTCGCATTATCCACAACTGGGGATGGGTATCTTAGACATCCTATCTTTGAATAATTCTTATCAATAAATCTGCTTTTTCGGCACAAATTTACAACATTTCAAATACGGCAGATATTACCCCACTTTTCATTGGACCAACTTATTTCGGCACAAAATTACCCAGCCGCAGATTAGTTTTTACAAACCTTTGCTTCACCACTGTGGTGAAACCCACGAGGACGAGCTGACAAACCTAGAAATATATTCGGGGCGAATCGGGATTCAAACCAACATTCATAGGTTTCTCGCGTGCCCAAGGGACACAACTCAACACAGCGAATCGCGGCACCTTAAACCACTGGGCTACCCGTGTGGCCCTGACCAGATGAAAACAAAACACGATCTCTGCAACAATTATATCTAGCAGTACCCACCGAAACTGTGCTGTATAACACTCCATTTGTTCTACATGGTAATGGACCGCCTCCGTGGTCTTGTGGTAGAGCGTCCGCCCGAAAGCGGTAGGTCCGGGGTTCGATCCCCGGCCGCGTCATACCAAAAGACGTTAAAAGATGGTACTTGTTGTTACCCTGTCTGGCGCTCGGCATTAAGGGGCTAAAACAAGGACTGGTCGGCTCGGAGTCAGTATACTGTGTCTGAGTGGGGTATTCATGTTAAACTGCGGCGTGGTATCTCAGTGAGCTAGCACTATAAATCGGCATCAGTCCGGACTAGTACAAGCAGCCACACAAACACACACACACACACAAACACACACACGTACATGCACGTCGCTATATAAGTGCAATAATCTTGGACGCGACGTTAAACCCCAATTTCACCTCACCTACATGGTAATGCTTATGTAGGCATTGAGAGTAACTCACAACATGTTATAATGTTTCTGTGCGCTTACGAGATATTCTCCTAATGCAATCATATTTAGAGTAATAGTCAGTGAGCATGGTCTCACGCCCCTTTCAGTTATATTCCAGCTAGGCTACCCACATCCTTATTTGGTGTATTAGCACATGTGCCAAGACAATATTTGTTAACTAAGTAAAAGTATTTCATCTTCCCGGCTCTTAGGATAACTCTACATCTCATATCCATGTAGGATTGTTTTTGTTTGTTATTTTGAAGTTTTCTATTTATTTAATCTTCACAGCTAACCAGTAAACAGCATAGTTTGCAGGAGCTAAATATTAAACAAGATTATGGATGCCTTATAATTATTTTATAAATAGATCGAGATACCTGTAACTTGGTATTCATCATTCATGTGGTCAGTGCAAACCACTTAACATAATTTTAATTATTACGATAACGATAAGTAAAGAATATACAGTTGTTTAATAACGAGTTGGGTTTTCGCCGCTTTTACCAATATTCCATCAATATCACGACGGGGTTCGCCAGAAGCGTACCTCACATAGCGTACCCATGTGGGGAATCAAATCCTGGGCCTTCAGGTTAACGAGTGAATACTTTAACCACTAAGCTAGCCTATCACTCTTCACTTGTTTAAGTCACCGCCTCTATCCGTGGTCAAGTGATAGGGCGTCCGCCTGGACAGCGGAAGGTCCAGGGTTTGACCCCGCCGCGTTATAGCATAGACGTTAAAAGATGGTACTTCTTGTTACCCTGCCTCGTGCTCGGCATTAAGGGGCTAAACAGGACTGGTCGGCTCGGAGTCAGTATACATATATAAAACAGTTTTATCTAACTGCTTTAAATGCCTAGAAACCTACAAGATAGTACATAATTGATTCTTTCCGATAACTTAAGTAAAAGCGACAACATCCTTTCCATATTCAAATAATAATGATATACACACGCAATAAGATTAAACAAGTCGTTTGTATCGAAATCATGTACACCAGGACGTTGTTTGGGAATTACAATCCAGGGCCCTAATAATTACATTAGACCACCTAAAGCCCCTTATTGAAAAGTTGACTCGCCATTGTCCTACTGCTTTGTGCAACTACGGTTAATAACTGGCATGATTACTTATTGTAAACACGTTATATATCCCTACATTTTTAGAGGCATTCCTTCAAATACAGTAACGGTTGGGCATCCTAGAGGCTATAACGTTTGCTAGTCACGCCGAATACCCGGGTTTGGTTCCGGTCCCCACAATGGTACAATGTGTAAAACGTATTTCTTGTGTCCACTGCCATGATATTGCTGGAATATGGACAAAAGTGGTGTATAACCATAACACTCACTCGCTTACCCAGACTTACACTCGACACTGTGACGCCATTACATCGGTCCAATGGGTATTCCTTGTCTGCGTTACCCAACTTTTCCGGAAACACCCCTTCCGGGCTGTTAGTCCCCGGACCCGTAATATTTAGAAGCCTATACATACTGCACACCGCCGATGGTTTCTAGGTGTTGACATGGACTGTAGAAACAGCGTCGTATTGGTTTCAAGTGTTCCTTGTTTTGTTTGTTTGTTGTTTAACGCCGCACTCAGCAATATTCCAGCTATATGACGGCGGTCTGTAAATAATCGAGTCTGGGCCAGACAATACAGTGATTGATATCATGTACATCGATCCACGTAATTGGGTTACGATGACAACCCAAGTCAGCGGGCCTGGCCACCGGATCCCTCTAGCCGCCTCTTACGACAAGCATAGTCGCCTTTTACGGCAAGCATGGGTTGCTGAAAACTTTTTCCATCCCGGATCTACACGGGTCTCTTTTCAAGGTGAAAAGGTGATACTTGAGCATTTGTAACTTTTGTTCTGAGTACAGATATACGTCCAGCATGGGTTGTTCCCTTACCTAATTCAGAAGACAGTAAAAACGGCGTGGTAACTAATACATGTTTTATTCGGATAAACTGGCACCGCATATCACAAGTTGGCCAGCACCTGGACAGTGAAGACGTCGCCATCAACATTGTAAATATTTCGGAACAAAGTACAGCTTAATGAAACATAGAAACATAGATACAAATAAATAGGACGCGACTTTACGAAACATGGAATATAAAAACAAGTTGCGCATATGCATAGTTGCTCAGTTGTTGTTGTATTCAACAGATACACAATGACATCATAACATTGAAAAGCGTTATCAGTCGTGATGACGTCATACAGATTTGCATCAGTCACCGTGACGTCATGATTCTTTTGAGCTTGAGTCATTATATGCTGCTATTGATACTTCGACAAACTGTATTCCTCTTAACACTACATGACGAGGAATTTCAATGTTTTCTACCTTGGCGATGGATTTTGAGCAAAGAAATGTATGAATATTCTTGTATGTCGATCGATGCTGGGAAATAACCTGTGTTCACACATACAGCAGAGGCTGCAACCCTACGAATTATGTTTCCTTCGTCTCCATACATTTCTTATCGCATTTATCCAGGGTTTTTTCATCTTCATAAAAATGCAATCGTCAACAAAGTGGTTTTGACAAAAATAAATGAATAAATGTATTTAAAACAGGTTCTCTCCGCACCCAGACTGCTCGTAATAAATATCTCCGATCACTTGTTGTCCACTAGGTACACATCTGCGTTTATTGTCACACATGAGATGTCACAAAGATGACACCAGCTGTCCATGAAACCATGCTCTGTACATGTGTCTTCATGCACTGATCCACACACAACCCAAGTTTTTAAGCAATCCATTGCCACAATATGGTTCAAAAGACACCCATGCGTTTACTTTATACACAATGTCGGATCTTCAATAGCATCCCATATCTGATACGCAACAGATGCGTTTACCTGTTGCGCTGCGATCTTCCTGCTCAAAGCAAAGTCACAGACGTCCGGCCCTCCATACGGGTTATATTGATCAGTCGGGATGTCATGATGTCTAACGTCAAGGATCTTGGCAAGTGTTCCAGTGATGTGAGCGTCTTCCATGTTGACATACGGCAAAAACTGTGACAGTAACATTATACGTGTAGCTAATAGAGTAGGCATCACATATATGTTTCCCTTCACATGTGGTGGGTATCTTTCTATGGGGTAAGCATCCTTGGCTACCTTCATCTTTCCAGCTCTCTCTACTGGATCGGCATAGTGGAAGTGGCCGTAGATCTGGTTGGTCATGTTGACTGACAGTAATATGTCTGTCATGCGTGGTATGTCTACAAATGAGTCCTCGTCAACTTTCATAATGAATGACGTTTTCGGACAATAGATCTTCGCCCACTTAATTGCCATTAACACTTTGTATGTCAAATTAAAATACGATTCGGTGAAATTGACTTGCACAATATCTTGATGCAGCTTGGCTTCTTGTTCGATGATAGAGTTTTCCCGTGAAGAATTACTGACACCGAAAAAGAACGCCAGCTTCACAGGTCCGAATAGCTTCTTGCCAGGCCAACTGCGTCCTTTAGCAGTACGTCCGTACGTCCGTCTTATTGCCTGCCTCTGCTCTGTTTTATTGTGGAGAGACATGACTGCCACCAGTAGTAGTGGCTTGCCATTAGGCTCACAGACCTTAGCGCCATCTAAGATGAAGGGGAATTCAAGTGGTGTGACCATGCGGTCTCTGGGTTCAAAGTACCACATGCCTTTGTAAATGTCAGCGTGGCCGTAGAAATTGTTTTGATTGAGAGCTCTTACTACTTGACGATGTAGAAGCTTGATTTCGGAGTCGTGTTGTTCTGGTGAGCTCCTGAACATCAGCATCACGAACCAGATGAACAGCACACACACAAGAAGAACGCGCTTGTTGGATAACAGTCTCCATTGTCCTTGAACAAAACAAATGTAAGAACATGTAGAAAGTGTTCTTTCTTGTAGAAACGAAACAAACATGTTACAAGTGATAATAGAAGGACAAATTGATAGGGTTGCTTCACTTCATCATTACTGATATTAGTTAAAGGACGGGGTGAAGGAAGCTATGTACGTCATATACGTGTCTTCAAGTTGAGTAACAGTATTAAGCCAGACCCCTACACTACAACATGCAACAGGCGGTGTGAGAGGACGTTATGTACGTGTCTTCAAGTTGAGAAACAGTATAAGACCAGACCCCTACACTACAACAGGCGCTGTTGGAGGACGTTATGTACGTGTCTTCAAGTTGAGAAACAGTATTAAACCAGACCCGTATACTACAAAATGCAACAGGCGGCGTTACGAACAGTATTAAATCAAAATAGACACCTATACTACAACACACAACATGCTAGAGGACGAAAGTGTCTTCACGGCGAGGAATATCATTCGATCTGACTTAACTGGACATGTGATGGGGGTACATGTCACACCGTTACACACCTCTGGGGGCAATAACTATAATACTTGTGTACCTATGCTTTTAACTATAAGTAAAGTTACATGCGCCTCAGTTTCGTGTCAACTGTATGACATAGTTCCAAACACGCGTTCTCAGTTCCCAGTTGAACACTCGGAGTATCACTACGAGTAACATGTGAAGCATTTACATATCTATTAGTAGTTTAGTTGTCAAAATGAGATGATGAAAGGTTCGTTCGAAGACCCGAAGATTTGATTCCTCCTTTTTTGGGGTGCTCCGCCTTGATATGGCGGCAATATTGCTAACAAAATGTAAAAAAGCCGTGTTTAAACCCTCATGTAGCTTTTAATTCACGCAGTTCTAAATGGGTCCCTTCGTGAACATGCATGATTACCGACACATTGATAATTGTAATCACTTACCAGATGTAGACAATGCATTTCTCACACTTAGCAACCGAAGGCCCATCATGGCAGGTGTTAGTGGGTAATACTGGTCTTGATGGGGATCGATTGTGGAGATTGTCACTGGAAATGTTTGATTACCCGACTCTGCGATAGTCTGTAAAAATAATTTTGGAATGATCAAATCGTTCGTAAGGTATTAACGGTATACAATATCGAGCTTCTCTCATACATGCCTGTCCCCGTGAAAATCGGGGTGAGATTTAGCAGCCCCTGCTTGCCGTAAAAAGCGACTGTACTGTCGTAAGATACGACTAACAGGATCGTAGATCATGCTCGCTGACACGTCATCGTATCCCAATTGCGTGGATCGATGCTCGTGATGTCAATCACTGTATTGTCCGGACAAGACTCGATTATTTACAGACCGCCGTCATAAAGCTGGAATATTGCTGAGTGCGGCGGGGTTACACAACAAACAATCATACATGACTATCCAAAATACATCTCAATAACCAAATTACCGAAGTAATTGGCTTAGAATGTATTGAAAGAAGAATCTACGACTCGCATGTAAATTAGAACACTACATTGTGGCTACAAAACGGAATGTTTTGAAGTGGGTGCCTTTTTTCAGCGAATAATAAATAACGCTCTATTTTTATCTATCATTCATAGTTTTTTTATTTAAAAAAGAACTGGAAACATCTGGGTGCTCTTTCAATAAAATATCCGTAATTCTACTACCTTTAATTATATAAACATCGCTGATCAGATTCTTTATGCTAGGAGTCGGAATTCTACATATAAGAAGAAGGAGAAGAAGAAGAAGAAGAAGAAGATGAAGAAGAAGAAAAAGAAGAGGAAGAAAAAGATTTTGTTAACGTGTCACTGGATGCATAAAAATCAGTAACATTGCAAATATGGCCTGAATTAAAAGTACATCCACCGGCAAGCATTGGCCTACGAGACACGAATATACATGTTACATAAATATAAAAATATAAAATATAAAATATAAAATATAAAATATAAAATATAAAATATAAAATATACATCAATGCATGAAAACGGGATTAATTGGGTAGTGACATGATTTTAAGAAAGTGTGTGACAACGACGCTTATACATTTTGGTCAGTAAAACGGCTAACTTATTACATATTGAATCATTATTCATTATATAATTAAACTTGTCTGCTGGATTAAGTTGTAGGAAGGAGGGATCTAAACTAGAAATAGAATTAAACAAATTGTAACGAAGGTCTGAGTCAAGATCACAAGTTACAAGGAAGTGCATTTCATCCTCAACACAGTTGGTACAAAACTTGCAGAGTCTTTTTACTTAAGATGTTACAGGTTGTGTATCTCCCTAGTTTAATCTAGGCAGGGTTCCACACCGGAATTTACTCAGAATACTTCTTTCATGTCTATCAAGTGAAGCACTGACATACTTCTCAGTATAAAAATCAGTTTTAAATTGTCTATACGTTCTTAGCTTATTACCATTTACTAAATTTCTATCATTCCATAATTCTACAAGCCAGTTATTATAATCAATAAACATTAACCACTGTTTTGCAGAATCAAAGTCAGCTGTATCTGTACTATTACATGTTATTATCATGTTACAGGCGGATGCTTAGCCTTAATAATTACCCATTTACACTCGTAATACAAACATAGCGGTTACAAAAGGCACCAATGTGTGACAGAAACGTACCTTAGCTAATGTGGCCCACGACCCTGATCTTTGACAAGTGAATTTTATATGATAACACGGGCGGTATCGCTTACTAACACACGTCTTATATACCGATTACCCGTTTCTGAGTAGTTCGTTAATGTCAGCAAAGTAACGTTGCTATGGTTATACAAATAAGCGCTACTGGTAACAATGGGTCTCATTACAAACGACGTGACAATACAACGGGGGTTGAAGGGGTGTCAAAATGAATGTCAATTTCAATGCACACGATGTTGCTCTTAATGATGCTAATTAGCGCCCTTGTCAATAAGGTTGAGTCAGTAGTGTTCTTTTAACAACCGCTGGTAATTGTTTTGTTACAAATTCAATCTTGTTTTGTTACAAAACAATGAGGAAGTCAACAAATCCGCTGTGGGATATTGTTTAAACCAAACTGTAGCATATAAAGTATTAATTAACCTGCGCTTGGGATTATGTCTAATTTATAATTGAAATCGCGACGGTTTACACTAATTTAAAATGTACACAATATAACAATGGCGATTACAGGAAAACGGTTAGTACAATATTATCTTAGATCAAGTATGAGCGTTCAACAGAATTGAACTGCAATTCTTAAAAAATACTTAAAAACGTGTACGAACAGCCATACTGTTGTATACGGATGTGTTGTTGAACATGTACTAGATCATAAACATTTACCTAGATGGAGATCTCGTTCCCCAGTAGTGGCCTCAGCCTGTCTCAGCACCGAAGTCCATCGCAACTGTACTATGTTGACGACAGGTAGACGGGCAAGCAAGTACACGCTAATGTTCTACATGATATTATGTAATAACATTATCCCAACTAAAAACGGACATTGTGCATTTGTTCGCCCCTATCGTTTGTCCACTAATCTTTTGTAGAATCCAAGTACAAATAAAGAGTTATACAATTATGGTATTGCGTGAAGGGTTTACCTAAGACGTATTTAGCATGCTGCTTGAACTTGACGGCTATGTGATAATATGGCCGGGCGAACCTTTAAGTATGTTAATCTGCAGGCAACACACGGGAAAATATTACAAGGTAAATTTCATTCTGACCTATTCTAGCCTGGTAAGGCTTTAACACATCATTAGGTGCAGGTAACGTATCCACTCATTCGTTTATCGTCTATTGTCAGGTGTTTTGTATGTCACTGTGTGCAGCTGGCACTACCCGGTAGCAAAGTCTGTCATCCCTATTTACCCAGCTTCACCAATAATCTAATAATTAATCTTATTGGAACCTGTATATTTAATAAAATTATTGGATATCAGTTGTAATTGTTCTTGATGTTAATTCAGTATGATAAGGAATGGGCATTACTCTGAAAGATACCTTTCTCAATACTGACAACAAAACGTCTTCATAGAGGAAACGGGGCGGTCGGGTAGCCTAGTGGTTAAACTGTTCGCTCGTCACGCCGAAGACCCGGGTTCGATTCCCGACATGGGTACACTGTGTGAAGCCCATTTCTGGTGTCCCCCGCCGTGATATTGCTGGAATATTGCTAAAAGCGGCGTAAAATCATACTCACTCACTCATAGAGGAAACGGTCATATTTAGAACTTTGCCAAATGCCACCATTAAATTTGATTTTTTCTGCTACCGACAGTTTCAAATCTAATATAATATAATACTGAATCCAAGACATATCCCTTTACATAGTAGTACATATTGTTCCGAAGACTGCAGTAGTTGCGACATGAAAAGAAGTAATGTGTAGGATCCTCATACTGATATCCACAGGAGCAGGTAGTAAACTCATGAATATGTCCATGATATTTGTGTGCATTTAAATCACTGCATCCTAACCTGAGGCGGCAATGGATAATTTAACAGAAACGGGTACCATAGCCAAATATTTTAGGATTTTCTGTTGTGGTGATATAAACTGGGCGGCAAAAGAAAGTATGGGTCCCATGATCGATAAAAAAATAACAAGAAAAGTTTTTGTTGTGAATTATAATATAATCTAGGGAGGGGTAACAAATGATTGATCAACCACAGTTTGAATGAAATTGTGCAATCACAGGTAATGTAAGCTCAAGGTAAACAATGGTTGGATAAGAAATTTCATTTTCAAAAGTTGTCAGGAATGTCACCAAAAAATTGTCAGACACACTACAAGTTCATTGTCGACACAATTGCCTTCAATAGCGTGTATGACCTCTGGCTGCCTCAATGCATGCTGTGATACGCCGCCTCATCGATGACGTCAGTCTTCTGATGACGTGGACTGGAATCCGTTGCCACTCGTTTCTCATGATCAGGGCCTGCTGCAATTCTTGTCTGTTGACCGGAGGCTGATGGCGTGCTCTAATCTGTCTGTCAAGATGGTCCCACAGGCCACAGTGGGCAGGCCAGGGCAAAACGTCAACGTTCTGCTGGTTTAGAAAGTACCGAGTCAGTCTTGCAGTATGGTGCCTGGCATTGTTGTGTTGAAACAATGTCCCCTGCTGTTGGTTCTGTAAGAACGGAAGCACAACTGGCTGCAACACTTGGTCTCTGTACTGCACAGCGTTCAGGTTTCCCTGTATAATCACCAAACCAGTCTTCTGATCTCCACAAATACCGCCCCGCAGTGAGCAGTCAGTACCATTCCTCGGAAAGGACGATAAGCTCGGATTCCAGCAGCACGAAGTCGTCGTAGTACTGTACCTTGGCTAATGGGATGTCCCAACGCTGTTGCTGCCGTCGCCGTCGCCGCTACGAATCTGTTTCGCAGGTGAATGAGCCGTATCTGACAGTCTACCAGTGGTGTTGTCACTCGGGTCGTCCGGTTCTAGGCCTGTCCTGTGCCCTCCCTGTCTGCCTGTACCGTTGAATCAGCCTGGCTACTGTCAATGGTGTACAACCAAACCTTCTGGCAATTTGGACCTATGTTGCCCCCATTTCGGCCATACCGATGTTTCTCTCTCTGCTCCTGTGACAGTGGCATTTCTTTTGTGTGTTTTCATCACGTGTGGTTATACCCTGCAGACGAACGCATTTATACAGCTAACATGCACGTGCAGTTTATGCCATAGGCGGGAAACCGTTTCACCATTTTTTTGCCACTGCACGAGCGCCGTCAAAGGTGGCGCGTTCAGGTGAGGTGTTTTTTGGTACCAGTTCCTGGGCAGTCATATTCCCAATACCCACTTTCCACTAGTTATGGCTGTTTTCAGGAAAATGACCAATTGCCAGCCTATACTTTCTTTTGCCGCTTAGTTTCTTTAGTGAAGTCATATACAGTATATTTTGACTGAACAATATCCGGTAATTCATTCCACATTCGCACTGTGTCGGGTAAAAATTATTTGTGGTAGTCAGCAATATACCAGCTATATGACGGCGATCTGTAAACAATCGAGTCTGGACCAGTGACTTACATTAAGGGCATCGATCCACGCAATTGGGATCGATGACATGCACCAACCAAGTAAAATATTGTAACAATACTTGTATTTGAAGAGATATTACCATTAGTTTTGTTTGTGAATATTTGTGTGCGTTCGGTGATGTTAATGTGCGTTGGTGAGTGTGTTGGTGAGTGTGTGTGAGTGAGTGAGTGTGTGTGTGAAACTTACTTTACAAATTGCTTTTTTAACACTCCCACTTTTAATCTCGTACTCTCTGGAGAATACTCGCCTCATATATTCTGTACAACTTCATTGTGTTTTATTAAATACATATTTTTTTTATTTTTCCGTGTTCAGGTTTTGTTGATACGTTTGTTTAATGCTTACAAAAAACACAAAGTTTTTATGAACTCAAGACCAAGGCTTATTAATACCTGTCAACATTATCGCTCTCTTCACTTTTTGCCATAATCAAATATTCTACGTGGCTCTTTTAGGACTCCTCTACAAACGATGACTATTTGGCTGTTTTTCATTTCCTTGAACTGTGAGTCCCTTGAAAAGTCAGTTTTGTGGGATGTAAAATTTATAGAGCTGTCAAATCCACCCTAAAGGTTTATTTACCCCACTGTTCCAGTCGAGCCTCGTGATCTCAACCCCGTTATCTCGAACGTACCGATATCTCGAACCCTATTCCCCGGGCCGGACCGTCTTACTATATTCTGTCCATGTCGCGTTATCTCGAATGTCCGGATATCTCGAAGTTACAACACGGTCCCGCGAGGTTCGCCATAATGGAGTTCGCGATAATAACTTAACTGACTTATATCTTGTAGTTAAGTCAAAACCTCAACGCCAGAGCATGATCGCGAGTATCTGACGAAACAGACACCACAGCGTTAAAGAGATAATATTAATCGAATACTGATGACAGAGATCACCAGTCAGTGATGACACAAAGTGTTCGCGAAAAGGTTAAGCATAAGGGTTAATAAAAAGTAAGTGCTAGTGAAAACTTGATCTGAACTTCGATGGCGAAACCTTGATTGAACAGCTTATCTGTAAGTAGAGTAAAATGGAATGAAAAGCAATGCTCTAAAGTACCAAAGCAATTGGGAAATGTAGCCGCAAGAGCTGGAAGGTAACAATACATTGTATATTGCTCGACACCTTTCTATACAACGTCAACGCTAGAGAGCAACGTTAAAAAGTCTCGATTATCCGACGAAACAGATTCCACTGGACGTACAAGGCAACATAGTTTTAAAAAATTAACGTGAAGGTATAGTTTTCAAGTATGGTTAGTGTAAGTTCTAACTCGCTAGGTCAGCTCAGGGGCAACAATGCATGCCCTCCTTATCTGCGTCTTCCGAATCACCACGTGAAAATCCCACGATCGATCAAAAGCACAAATATTTGATGATCGTTTCTTTAGCCCCTACAGGACCGGCACACGAATCTTATATAGTATGACCCAGCTTTCATTGTTGCGTACAGACATTCAGCTGTGTACCAGCTTTTTAAAAACCTGTATACAATTTTCCCAATATGCATGTACACGACACCGCTAGACGTGCACTGTAAAGGCCGCAGCTGCATCTGATACCGACAGCAGGGTTAATTGGACTCAGGGTCTACAACCTGACAACATAGCAACGGCATACAATATAGATGATGTCGTGATTGGGGAGGGGTGTGACGATGGGGGTGATGTAAGACGGGCAATCAATACAGGTAGATGGATGTAATGGTGATGCTTCCCCGGGGGTTAGCCTCATCATAGGGAGATCATAAACATGGCGTTATTGTTATGATGAGATTATACGTAGTCGTTGATGATTGTGTGATTGTGACTACTAATTGTGGTTGTTTTACAGGGATCATGCAGAGAGAGATAGATAGAGAGAGAGAGAGAGAGAGAGAGAGAGAGAGAGAGAGAGAGAGAGAGAGAGAGGGAGAGAGAGAGAGAATCGAACCAACCCAACGACCTGCGGAGCCTGACATGACTAAGGGACGCAACTCATCTCATAGAGAGAGAGAGAGAGCATTAGACGAGAACGGGCCACCCCTTCACTAACATATATCATTCCATGCAACTAGACTGCAATATTTAAAAAACAAATTCGTTGTTTTTTTAAATTTTTTATTTTTTTTATTTATAGTACTACAGGCTGGGGACTCACACAGCGGATTCAAGGCTGAATTGATGGACACGTATCACCATGTGCAGGCATATTTTGAGACAGTTGGACCATCAAGGTAGACACAATTATATAAAGAAGTTGTTATCCATAAAATTGAGTCTATCTTGTCACCCATCAATTTCTAAATAATGCCTATCAAACAAGTTAGTTGGACCGTCCTCACAAAGAATTATTCGTTGCACGGGACACTACTAGTACAAATACATTCAAGTATATGCCAGTAACGATGTTCGTTTATTACTTTGATGACTGTCTCGAGTTGATTTACTATCGACAACTGGTTACTCACAACCAAGGTGTCAGGCTCATATATCGTAGTATACCAGTCGAGGTACTGATGGACACATGACCCCTGTCTGGTACGTGTGGGAAACCCCAGTGGCCGTTAATTAATAATGTTTCATCGGTTGTTACTGTAGCGTGCTACTAACACAATCTGTGTTTTTGTGTGCCTTCCGCAGTTGCATTTCGCATCGATTAGTCCTGCAGTTGTTGCTACAGCTCACAACATTTATCTAAAGTGTGTACTCATAGTTATTCCCAGTTGCAGAGATTCCAGGGAAGAGAGCATCGTTTTGTACACGACTAAATGTAATCAGAGTGGAATCAGGTGTCCTAATGGATATGACCAGAGAGAACATGCATTGGACCATTGAATCACTGAATCATTGCATGCATGGGAACTACCCAGAACAACGCATTTAGTGGTCATCTCACCTGCGTTTAACTATGAAATATGACGTTTTGCAGACCTATTAGACACAATCTGCACAGGTTAATGGGTTATTTCTTAGCGCTTAAGAATAAACAAACGGTTTACAGTAAATCTAAACAGAGTCATTAATCTTGAATTTACATGCACACATTCCAACAGCTACAAGTATCCAATACACCGTTCTTGGCATGTCTAGGTATGGTAGATTCTAATGGTTTCACACGAACGTTTTACTTGAAAGTATTTCTCACATTCTATAATGTGTATTTCCCTCATTCATGTATTGAAATCCAACAAAACTAAGACTGATGTAGGCGACGGTTATGTATTCACGAAGGGAGTGTTTCCTCCTGCTCGGTTATAGACAGCTAACATCATAATTACATTAAAGTGTTTTACTGCAAAACACGTGTATATACACTGTAAATATATAAAAGTAACATGGATTTTACTCACCGATAACGGCTTCGAGTTCGTAACCTCAGGTAAAAAACGCAGGTGAGAGGACTATTTGTGATCGACGGAAATCGTCTGCGTACTTGTGTTTACTCCATGCACGGCAGTAGGGAGCGCATCCGATTCATTAATAAGACGCAGTATAAAGAGTTCCGCTGTGGAGGTCTGATTGGAATGTAGGGATCGGGAAAGTACCTTGTCATCAATGATAGGAGATGATCTCGTTAGCTTAAGGTACATGGTGCATTATATTTGGAGTTTGAAACTTGTGTTAAGGGACGGCCATGCATTCCATTGTTTCAACTTGTGTGCATTTACATGTAAGCTGTGTTTTACCTGCTTTCTTATGATATCAGTGGTACGAGTGTGATGCTGGTTGAGATTGGTTAAGTTTGTTTGTTTGTTTCTTGATTAACGCCGCACTCACCAATATTCCAGGTCTATGACGGAAGTATATACATAATCGAGTCTGAACCAGACATTCCAGTGATTGACATATGATGACATGCATCAACCAAGTCAGCGGGCCTGACCACCCGATCCCGTTAGTCGCCTCTTACGACAAGCATTTTCGCCTGTTGTATGGGTTGCTGAAGACCTATTCTAACCCGGATCTCCAATGGTCTTGGTGATAAGAGTTCTGCCAATTCTAACCCGGATCTTCACTGGGGCGAGATATCGTAAAGATCCGGTGATTATTAAGAATGGTTTGCAATATTAGAATGAATAACTCATATCAGACTCAACTTTGTTTTATCTCATGTACGCGTTATCGCCGACTGTCACGTCTTGAAACGTTATTAGTCCCCTGTGTCCCTATATGCAATGCTTATCAGCAGAGTCGACTCAAATGAGCATATAGATACAATGCGGTGCAAAGCAACACCCACTCCAGATTTATTGGTTTTGGCTATATAAATTGCAGTGGAACCCTTTTGTCTCGAACTCGAATTTGACGGATACCCGGTTGTGTCGAACTTAGTATATACAAGTATATCATTATTTTAATACGGATGTGATCAACTGGATGTGTCGAATTCCCAGTTGTCTCGAACTCAATTTATTGCCCACGAGGTAACAAAACATGTAAAACTTACCCTAATAAGTCGAACTCAAACTTGTTTTTAAAAGAAAAGGATAAGGTAGAAGTTTGATCAGTTATAATGGCATATAGCTTAAGTCGGATATGTTGAACTCAAATAAGTCGAATTACTTCTCTGGAAACATTATTGTTTGTTTGTTCGTTGATTAACGCTGCACTCAGCAATATTTCAACTTTATGACGGCGGTCTGTGAATCGAATGGTCCCCCCCCCCCATCTCTCTCTCTCTCTCTCGCTCATCTGTACAACATGTGAACGCTGATGAGAGTACAGCTAGCACTACAAATTACTCGAGATCGTGACAGACCATCCGTAATTACTCTCGGCATCAGTCCGGACTTGTACACACACACAAACACACACACACACGTCGCTATATAAGAGCAATAATCTTGGACGCGACATTAAACCCCATTTCACCCCACATCTCTCTCTCTCTCCATTAAAACGTTCGAAATATGCTATGCACGAATTAATTACGTGTTCATTTGATATCTAACTTATCGAATGGAATATTATTTTTTCAACTTCCTAATACCTAACATACGCGTAATTTTTCTTGTGAACCAGACGCAGACTTCATGGAGTCATTCCAATCAATGTTATTGTTCCATTATTAGCTGTAGTTATATTAACAGGCTTCTGCTTCTTTACCTTATAAATCAACCACAGTGCGGTACGTTTCTTTGTTCGAGCGATTAGCCCATGGTTGAATGATTAGCCAGTTTATAATGGTAATGGCGTTATGCCCAAGGCCCACGTTCAGCCCGACAACAGCCCCTGTGATATAGCACGTGATTAAAATGTACATGGCAGGTGCGCGCATTGCCCGCGTTAAAAGGACAATTATGTGGCGTCGCCTAATGTACTACTTGATGGTGGAACAGGTTAATCAGTATGCTGACTTATATATAAAGGACGCATACTGCACAACTGTTCACTTTTGACGAGACCAGTTGGATCCAAATAAGTCAGGTGCAATATCAATTATCTTGAAGAAATGCCCCCCCCCCCCCCCCCCCCCACACACACACACACACACACACACACTGAAGCGTCAGTTTTGTTGCTTTTGATATCAGTAGTGAACAGTCTTTCAATACATTAAGTGGAGGAACCTATTGACGTTTTTATCCCCCAAAACACATTTTCATTTTCGAATTATTCCAAACAAATTTCTTTTATGAAATCACTAAAACGTGTTTTATTAATTGCGTTTTTTAATCTTCATTTTGACACCGATAAAAAATAATCTCTGACAGTGAACAATGTGATTGAAAGCGTGAATCCTGTTATATATGTCCGTCATTAAAGGTGTCTTATGCTAGCTTGCAAGATGCATACTAAGTGATGTTGTATATTTTCTTTCGAAAAATATGTTTTAAAATTATGTTGATAAGTTTATTCCACTCAGAAAGGCAACAGGGCCATAGTAGAAATCTATTTTCGGGACTGGTTGCAAGAAAATCATATTCTTATTACATAACATAAGGTATCCCAATTGCGTGGATCAATGTTCATGATGTCAATCACTGGATTGTCTGGTCAAGACTGGTCCAGATTCCGGCGTTAAAAAACAAACAGGCATCATACACTCAATTACGAATTCCAATTTTTTCATATAATAACATTATATTATATCATTTTCTTGGTAATCTATTAATGGGCATTTCAAGAATCTTGAATCAATACTAAAAAAATCAACATTTTGAAAATTTAAAGTAGAGTGCTCCAAGCTAACATAGACCATATGTAAACTGTTTTTACGCCTAGGAATCTTTTACAAACACACCGATGGACCAGTTTTAAAGCTCTGTATTCAATAAGACCACAGACCTCTGTTCCATATAAAAGAATAGGAGTACCGTAATGTGTCAAATATTTACAAAAAAAGATTTCATAGAGATCAGTGGATCTGATTGAACTACTAGTATGTAAGATACCTTTCCGTATTTTCCTGACTGGATTACTGCAGTACTGGTGTGACTATTCCACGTTACTTTTAAACATGCCAAATGTTGGTCATTTTGTAATTTCAACAAGTGTATTCGGTGATACTGTATGTATAGAGTCAGGACACCCTGTTTTGGTGACCAAAAGAAATGGAAGCATTTCTAGAAAGTAAAGACAGACAGGCATGCAGATTTATTCAGTGTAAAGGCCAGAGCAGAGACCATATAATAGAATTAGAGCCGTTATTGAAAATCAAAATCTGCACTTTTGCCGATTTTACATGTGCGCCATTTTGTTCTCTCGGACAAAGACAAAGCGTGATCACAGTCATCAAATACAGTGACAACGACATGCTTTAGGGCACCAACAAATCTCACTTGTAATGTTAACAATGTTAAGAAATACATGAGTGTAATTATGTATTGTGAAATATATCTTTTGCATGGGAAAAAAAGGCAACAACGATGACTGCAGTGAACGCGTTTCTGTTCGCTTCCGGACAGGCTGCGCAGTACAAGCCGTAGCACTGATGGTTTCGCGCATAGGCTAGAGGGCCGTCCCTCTATTATATGGTCTCTGGCCAGAGGTCCACAATGCAGTTATTTAATATAATTTCGAAAGTATATACAAAGGGACACTACTCCGTACGAAGACTCGCCTGTTATACAATGTATTACGTGCATGACGCTTTCATTTGGAACGGTTCCGTAACATAGGCAATGGGAACGGTTTCACACAGGGGTAACTACTATTCTTTAACAGACTCACGATTGTCTTTGAGCTCAGATCGCCTTGTCGAGAAGTTTAACGACATTTATTGTGGGAACATGACCCACGCTTACATGTTGTGGAAGACAAAATGGTGTTATCGTCCCTGGACTCGCTGCAACAAAGCATACATATGTTAGCTTGGTTGACAGGAATGCTTTGTATTTCAAACGTGGCACATATTCGGTAATATAGAAAGCGCCCTTAAAATCACAAGTCACAGACGACATCTGACCCCGTTCCTCAAAGCGATCTTAGCGCTACGATTGTCACAAATCAGTGTTAAAGAATGGGCGTTACGATCGACTTAGCGCTAAGATCACTTTGTGGAACGGGGCCCTGACCTGACTTTCTACGATAGCTGTCAATAATGGCAACAGAAGACCACCGGCGCCAACATCTAAGTTTGGCTAAAACCCGTTTCCCATTGAATAATGAAGTGATTCCATTCCCGACGGTTGTAACTACCGCATGGCGAAACACAGAAGCAGGAGCATCACTCTCTCCGTTCACTCAAATCTTCGTCAAGAGTCTTAATTGGACTGGCGAGGGGTTGTCGATTCGAAATTCTTAGATTAAGGAAATGGTGATTCCAGACTAGAATCGCATTGTTGTCCAAGTTCATATTCTCGATTGTCAACATTGATGGTATAGTATTAGAACATGAGCAAGTCTTTGATATGATTTTCATAAGGGATGTAACGTGAGGGATATAGGAAACTAAACCTCTCAGTTGATTGTATCATATGTTTGGTTTAAGTTAACAAAACATGAACTGTATTGGCGCTTAGTCAGCACTCAAAGAATACTTTTACATGGTTTTATTTTTGAACATATAATTTGATTTAAAACTGTTAAACTGCTGATGAGTATATTAGACATCATGACTTTGAAAATCAATAATTTCCTTTCATGGTTTGTTGCAATAAGGTAATATTATAGCATTATATCATGTGGTTGCAAATTCATTTCCACGCCTATCTTACCTTTTCATGGAAAGCGTTTATTTTTACACGAAATTAACCAGTAACCTCTTACTTTTTACAAACTGTGACAGGAATACGTAATGATTAAAAAGACATTATCAAAAGTAACAATAGTTCTTTCAATTACATACACAAATTCGGTATACTATCTTTTGCCCCCCAGTTTATAAATGCATGCCATTCATGAAAAATAATACATGCATGTGCACACGAGCTTGTGCAATGGTTTAGTGAAACCCGGTAAACCCGGAATGTGTAAGTAGCCTAGTTTAACGCCCTTTAGAATAGTACCTCACTTACATCACAGTGTGTCAC